TCGGCAAAATTAAGATCTGCACAAATTATTACGATGGAATAATAAATCGTAATAATTATAAAATCATCAGAGTTTGAAACCGATATAATTTTTGTAATTTTTTTTCGAATAAAAGCAACTCTTGAACTTAGAAGTATGAAAAAATATTTAAGATGAAAAAAAAACAGAAAAAACAAAAAAGATTCATCGAGCGCGAAGAACGCTAAACTTATATCACCGAAATTATATCAATCCTTTGAAATTAATTACGCGGTGCGATTACGTCGATAGTCTAAATAGAGATAGATAATAATCTAACTCTAAAGTAAATAGAACTCGAAATTAGCGCAACTGCGTCGTCCGGATTACGGTTTCCATCCGTAAAATGTAGATAGGGAAAGAAATTTTACTAATCGCCGCTGGTTCGTCCTAAGAGGGTAAATCACATCAACAGCCTTAACAAACTTGGAGCTGAGTTGACATCGAGGGTGACGACTCGCTATCTCCTTTAAGATGATAACCCCGTTTCGCGATGCAGGACGCTAAAGCGCGCTGTCAGATTTTTACAGTGCATTAAAGAGATTTCGCAGACGCATGAAAACGTTTTGCGCACGAGCGTCTAACGATAAGGAGAGTTTTCTAGGTCATTTTAGAAAAGTTATTTATACATCACGATTTAGAAGAATAATGCATCTGTAGTTCTGCTCAATTTTGTATATTCTTGCCCATCTAGGCGGAACGAGCATCGTACATCGAGCTTTTTCCAAATGAGCGAGCATACTGCCATTGGACGCAACGTTCCGAGTTTGCGCGCTCGTTCGGACTTGTAACGTATATAACGCGTAATTAAAGTGGCATCGTTCGTGTCACGCGACGCAACGCGAGCCGCTTGTTCCGGTTCTCCCGCAGCGCTCGTCCCGCAGGGGCACTTTGTGCGCGAACGTTCGAAGGGCAATCAGCGGTAATTGGGGTGCGCGATGCGCGCGTGACGTCTTTATTTCTGGAGAGCGGTACATTAGCGAGAAGGTTAAAGAGTGCGCGGCACGCGCGCGCGCGAGAGAGAGAGAGAGAGAGAGAGAGAGAGAGAGCTGCGATGTGCGGCTTGCGGCATAAATTAATTTATCCCAGCGCTTCGCTTCCCGCTCGCCGAGCGAGACGTGTCCCGGTGCCCGCCGTACAATCGCCGATACACCCGTTTCCAATCCAATCAACTGCGCGTCCAAATGTAACGCCCTATCGATTACCAGCGGCCATGCAGGCGCAACGTCCCGATTTTCTTTATCGAGTTATACGAGAGGCCACGTGTATTTCTGGCCTGCTGTATACAGCCGGATTCTGTTTATGCAAATGGTACGTACTTTACAGTACGTACACAGGAGACAGAGCGAACCAAACGAGGGAACCAAAAGGATCAAAAGATTAGTTTACGTTAGGTTGAAGAGGCTCTTTTTCCAAGTGCAGATATTTTTGTCCCCTTAGATTAGCAAATTTCACGCCGCGGAGAGCCACAATGGATGCCAATCGATTCGATTTCCAGAGGCTAACGCGCGTTTCACGCCTCGCACGCTTTTTTTTCTATACCTGATGACCCGTGTTTGTGCAACCGCATTTGACGTGTTTGGACGAGATCGGCAAGTAGCACAGCCATTGTTCATTACCGTCAAGGCGTTAGCGCGATATGTCAAGATGTCATCTTTTTCTTAAGAGCAAGATGGAAGATTTTGCCGGCTGTCATTTATTATCGCGGAGGACTTGAGCTCACTAAAGCTTTTTCCTCTCTCGCACAATTGATCTTTAATTACGCGAACTATGTGTATTAATTGCAAAATGTAATTAATTAATCACCTTTTCCTTCAACAAGATATAACATGGAAATGATATTTCATTACAGGATTTTACTCTCCTAATGAGTCTCTCTAACAAAAAGTATAAATATTAAAGCAAAAAGTAAAACGAGTTGTATGCGCCAATTGAAATTTGAATTTTGCAATTATCTTTCTATTCGTTATGTGATAATTTGTGAAATTACAGATTTGCGTTCTTCGAGCGATAAAACCAATGTGATAGAGAAATTATTATACTGAAGTTTTCGCTATTTTCGGAGTAAATTGAAAAATGTATTTTGGCCAGCGGAAGAAAAACATCAAAGTTTCAATGATACCATATTTTGAAGATAATATATAAGAGAAAGTTACATGAATTATCATTGTTATTTTAAGTTTTGACTTTCCCGAAACGCTTATTTCGAGGTAACGCACTAAAAAAAGCGATAGATAATAAGACACAAAGCATTGCTTTTGCTACAATATGCTATTATATGGAATTTTCATGTACATGTGAGTAAATTGTGTTTCGCATGATTCAATGTGAAATTAGGGGTTAATACGTATTTATGCTCAGAGATGTTAATTAACTTAGGTGTACACGCTTCCTATTCGAAATAATATTACATCACGGCATCCCGTGTTATGTTCCTCTACACGCGTCGAACCACGACGACAGCAAACATTCCAGCGATACAAATTAGTTGTAGACATACTGACGGTGCAATTAATTACAGCAATCTCGTTTATACGTATATAGGGTGTAACACAACGAAAGGACGTTATCCTCGGAGAATATGAGAGAGATATAAGTCTCAATGAGAGAGTTCCAATAAAAAAATCGTACGTTTTCGGGAAAGTATCTCTTAGAAAATGAAAGAGCGCGCTGTGAATCTGAATGAATGCTATTGCACGTGTGACACTCGGCGAATGGATGACTTTTTATATACTTACAGTATGATATTTTATTATTTTTAGATATCAAAGACGAAAACGGAAAGAAGGAATTTCTACATCTGATATCACATAGAATAAGCAAACCAAGCAAACAGATTGACGAAAAGTGAGCAAATCTCAATAGCCCATAATTAAGTGTCGTATAAAAAAAACGATGACATCACACTCTTTAAATACTGAGGAATTTCTACGCAACTTCTACACAAGTTTCAGACTCATATTAATACAATCTGCAATTCACAAAACGGGATCAGCTGTCGTCGTGGAATTATAGATCGTTTTAAATGAGCCTCGCAGACAGTGAGAGGAGAAAATGAGATTGCTGAATAGACAGAAAGAAGACTGCTTGGGAATACTGGTGGACGCGTTCGTGCGATAATATCAAAGTCAGAGAATAGAGTAAGAGCAATCGAATAGATACTTTTCAAGCACAATATATTATATAATTTTTCCTCAAAGAAGTACTCAAAGAAGTAATACTGGATGACACTTACGGGAAGCGATATACGAACCACCGGCTGTCTTTTCGACATTTTCTACTGCGCCGTTTTTTCGACCGCGCGTTCTCGCCCTTACGTTGCGACATTCAGAGCTGCGTTCACACAGAAGAAACAACATAATTTATACCACGCAATTAGACAGCATCGTAAAGTGGACGGTATTATATGCGGAGATGAGTTAACTTAAGGGAAATTTAAGAGAGGATCGATTATGCAAACAACCGAGTTGACGACCGTGCATTTTGAAGAGATGATTGAGGCAAAGTTCAGCACTGCACATTAAATATGAAAGTGAGTTATTTCATGAACGCGTTATACGACAAATAATATATGTTCGTTGTTTTTTTTTTTTTTATTATTAAATAACGTTGTCTTAATTTTTCATAATTTTATTGGTGGCATGTTTTAGATTTTAATTTATTTATATCTACGATTTCTTATTTATCTTGTTTTAATTATATCAAATATTGCGGGATAAATATCTCTTAAGTATATGTATATGTATAAGTAATAAATTCTTATTCGGGATTAAGTTTTGTTAAATATTCGCATTTTAAAATAAAACATAGCCAAGATTTTTATATAATTTCCATATTTTAAAAAGATGCGTTCAAACTGCAACTGCTCTTTTCACGGCCTATTAAGCTTTATTTTCTAAATTCCGAAATTGAAAAGTTGAAAAGTTTAGTTAACTCATTTTTATATAACACTGTCCAAATGAAATATATATTTTTTTAATTAAAACAAAATGTTATCAATTAATTTCTGATTAGTAATTAAATCTAATCATCCAAATCAAATAAATCAAAATATTTCATTGCTTCAATAATAATTAGTATTAATTGAAACTAAACTGCCGGTTAAATTAGCTCCCGAAATTTCAGTAATTAACGATTAAATCTAAATTAAAGATTAAATCTACCGTAATGCAATATATATCTAATGTTCCACTATAATGTTCCAACGAGCATAGCAAACTCTGTTTGTGAATGTAAGTAAAAGTTACAAATGTTATATAGGGTGTCATGAAATATTACATTATTATAAAAAAAGTCTCAAAATCATTCGATTTCTTTCCTAGATCTTTTTAGATCGTTTTATTCTTTATGAATCCTGTGATAAATTCAATTATTCTACACAAAAATGTCATTTTCAACAATAGTTAAAGAATCAAATTAAAGAAGACAAAATCACATTTTAAATTTTATTGAATCTTAATTCAATAGAAACCTAATTTAAAGCTCAATTACAAAGACGTATAATGTTACAGATTGGAAAAGTATTATGAGGGATGATCTCTCTTGGTATTTTCATTAAAGAGAAATGAAAAGCGAAATAATAGCGGTTAAAATAATATAATTCTTGGACACTCTATATCCAACTTTAAACTCCGATGTTGTTTTCGCACAATGTATATGCATCATGGCCCACATTAACAGGAAAGTAAAAGATGCGAAGTATAACGTATAATCGTAGTAGGGCTTCGTCACCACCTATTTTACACTTCAATTACCATATCTCGTGTTAGGAAAGGAAAAACCAGAGAAATTTAAATTAATAAAAAAAAATCTATAGATAAAAATAACATATTGTCTGAAATATATTTTGCACGGAACTTTTTAACAATCACGGAGAATTATAGAAATTTTGTATAGATCAAAAAATAAAAATAAGCATATCAATATGTTATGTACAATAGTCAGCAATTTCGAACAATGAGAGAACACCACAGTATACGAACCTTGAGGGCAGGAAGGACCGTCGCGAGGTCTGAGGGGGTCCGGGCCGTGGATGCCTGATTTGTGGCTCCGTAGCTCCGCTGTTGCTGATAGCTGCAGAGATTCTTGTGAGCACTGGCCTGAGCTGTGTAAGCCGACACTGATAACTTCATTTCTCTCTGTTCCCGATAAAAGGTCTAATACTCCTGACAACCCCACGGAAGAGGCCGAGGCGCATTCTGGATTTCTTGTGATATCCCTAAGCCACCGTGAAGGGCGGCACGCGGATAGATTGCCGCGGCGAAAGTTCACGAAGAAGGAAAAAGGAAGGCAAAGGGGAAAACAAATCTTCGAATTATATTCTTTCACGTGGCGATGGTATTGCCACGTAGTTTCCTCTATCGCCTCTTAATCTCTAGGAATTCACTTTTCAGCTATTTTGTCTCTCCAATTTTTTTGAATTTCTTCGCCTCGCGTCTTATCGATAGACTACGATTTTCTATCCTCGACGTCTTTACGCTTCTATTTCCAGAAGCGATCTCCGCTCCTTTCTTCGCCGCTCATTCGTACGACGATTGAAACCGTTCTTTTGATTAGCGGCAAACGATACGAGGAAACGCACCGATAGATCTGCCATGAAGCTTGACAATAATTCCCCGACGTGCTGTTGAAACGAGCGCTGTTGAATGCCGAGGGAAAGAATCTTAGGATATTCGCGAATCGTTTCAAAGGAACTTCAAAACGCACCCTCTTTCCCTCTTCCAGACGGAAATTCGTTTCCGTAAGACGTGACAATCGACTCGTTATCAATTTGCCACCAAGCGTGATAAAGAACGACTTGTCTCGCTATCCTTTGTATTCCTCGTACTGTGCTCGGATGGCTCCGCTCTTCGGTCGCTGATTTCCCGCGAGGACAAAAATACAAGCGTACGTGACCTTCCGCCTCCGCGTCTTCCTCTTTTCCCACTCTGGTAGTCTTTCCGGATGGCTCTCGTTCGTCTCCAGTGCCCCTCGACACGTCGACACTGGGCCGCGTTTCGCGGCGTTTTAAAGCTCGATCGATCACGACGATTGACCGCCGTGATCCCGGAATTCCCTTTTACCGTTTGGCCGAATCTCACACTACGACCGATCGTATCGATCCTCTCTTCCGCTTCGTCGATCTCCCTTGACTTCTAATTCAACTTTCGACCATCTGATATAGTCACATCGTGACACTTTCCTCTCTGGGGATTTTCATACAACACCCGGATTACTCGATCGGATGTTCGATTAAAAAGTGTGAGATGTGTAATTGAATAAAATCCGGGCTAAACTTTTCATTCTCTTTTGCGTGATAGGTAGTATCTTTGGATTTCCCGATACGCACCTGTGGTGATCGGTTTTCGACGGTTCGACGATATTTCTCCAATCAATAGCAGTTGGGAATGACGAGGACCCGTTCGCACAAGAGATGCGTCTGCACGTTCCGCGTTCTCTCTCTCTCTCCCACGTTGATTGGCAAACTTATGTTACGCACGTCTCCCCATCGCCCGGCAAACATCACCGAAGGCGCTCTGTTTGCTGATTCCGTGATCAATCGGCACGCTCGTGTCTAACGCGCGGATATGCGTTCGGAGGCACGTCGCAGAGCCTCTCAAGAGGAAACGCACGGATACGCAAATCCTGTCCTTCCACGTTTGTGCGACCTCGCGTCCCTCCGATTCCTCTCCATCCTTCGATACCCACGATGCTTCACTTCGCGATCACTCGCGCAAAAGATTCGAACTGGGAACACCTCGTGCGCGAGTTGACGTACCACTTTAATCGAACGATTCCTCGTTTGACAATCAGTTCATCGAGTTGCAGAAACAATCGTTTACGTTATCGTTTACCGCTGCTTGCCACTTATACATTACGAATTTTGTGAATTTTCCCAAATGGAGCTTACTTGGTGTATGTATTATGTATGTATGTATGTTGCATGTACGTATGTGTGTTTGTATCAATCGCTCGAGAGAATTTGAAGGGGAAGCTACAAAACGCCCTGCCAGCTTGGCCGATCGATCGAAACGATATTTGAATTCCTCATATATGTCTCTTCCCTTTTCGCGTTCGATCGCTCGTCTTCCACGTAGTTTGCGACTTGCCTCCTTCACTCTCAGATTCGATCCTACGGGCAATGTCAAAACAAGAAATGTATAAGACTGTATCAAGTTTGAACTATCGTCGAGCTGAAAACGACAGGTCTCTTTAATTCCTCGGCTCGATTATACCCGGTCAAAGCGGTAGCGAAACGCGTTATCCCTGTCGCTAATCACCTCGATCTTCGCAAGTCTCCGTGGAAAGAAGATTGAGAGGCTCGTCGTGAAGCGGCACTTCTCTTCAAATTCTGCAATATCACCGTGACGATCCGAGAATTGGCTGCGCTCGCGATTAGTAAAGTTTTAATATACTCGTAACTATAGATATCACACACTGCGAGGTTCACGAGGGATCGTGGCGTTTGTGGCTCATGGCACTTAATGTTTCATCGTACACGCGTACCTCTGATTATCCCACGAGAAAGGAGAGATAATAATAAAGCAACTTTATGCAAAATGGTAACTTAACAGAGCAGCTTTGCTATATATTTTGACCTATTCTCTTTATATATATATATATATATATATATATATATATATATATATATATATAACATACTATTAGATTAGATATTTGTATAATTTATAATTTATTCAAGTTGGAGAAAAAATCAATTCCAAACAAGCAATAAGATTATATAATTTATTTTATATTGTAAAATTATGTATTTTTGATCATTCTCATTTGAAAGTTTTCTTCGAATTTTTTAATTTTATTTATTTGTACTTTTTCTCAAACACATTTATTTTTCAACTAAAAAAATTATAATTATAATTATAATTATCAATTTCTTTTTTAAATATCTTCTATCTATCTCAGATAAATACAAATATGTATGAAATGCGTTATCGATTACTCAAATTGGCGATTATAACGATTTAAAAAAAACTAGAAATATATCGACAGCTACTTAAGAAAGCTTACAACAGCTTTACTGAGAAAATATACCTGTGCAAGGAAGAGAAGATTCGAGCTTTCGTAAAATATGTCGTTCTAAACTTTGAACTGCGTATGTTACATCGGAAGAGAAAAAAAATGAAGTATCGAATATAGATATAATATAAATCAAATTATTGGAGATAAATCGTGAAGTAATAATTAACTCTAGCATAATAATATTTAAAAACAATATTTTCTTAATGTCAAATTAAATTATCATTAATTTATACATATGAAATAAAAAGATTGAAAATAATTCAAGACAAGAACAAAAATTTTTGTTGAAAATAATTAAAGGTAACTTTACACTTATGTTTGATTAATTTGTCAACGAGGATGTAGAATGTGCAACGAAATGAAGAACTATCGTCGATCAAGGGACAAAAAAAAAAGATGAAAACAATTCCAAAGATTTTTTTTTACTAACTTTGCAAGATTAAAAAGACGATGTTATGAGGAAGTTTATAGCCTGGCTAATCTCTTGCAAACTCTTTTTTCTCTCTATCTTTCTTCTGGATCACATTCCCACAAAAAAAGATCCAATTCCACGGCAGTTCCCTTAAATGTTGTTTTACGTGATTATGCCGTTTCCCCCTTTTCTTGAGACTTTCAATCGTCGTATCTGTTTAAAATGGAGAAACTGTTGAACCAGATCGAATTATAACATCGCTTCGCTTCCTAGATAAAGCTTTTTATAATCCATCTGGCCGTATGGATGCCTTATTTTAGAGGAATCGGAATTTGAATTAATAATGTAACACCGCAAAGTTGATTTCAAGATATCTTCGTTCGTACGTCATGCATCGTCCTTACGTACACTAAAGAGGGGATGTAATTATTTTACGTCCGTTTCTCACCCGATAATCAAATATCAATAACAAAAATAGACGGAAAACATTCAGTCAAGTGGATCGTTTATGGGATAGAAGATGAAGAGAAGGTAAAATGTTACAATGCTCGTCGACGCGAACATCATGACGATAAAAGCCATAATAACGCAATACGAGAAACGACTTCCGATTGCGGGATAGTCGCGACTTTCCGCTTATAAAGAACCGCTTATAAAGACCGGAGAAGAACAAATTTCACTTGTGAAATCATTTTTAATATTAGTAGGCGGTGAAAGTTACGCGATGGACGAGCGGATTTTAATGACGAAACTGGCGGTATAATTTGATGAAATGAAATATATCGAGTATCGCGTTATACCGCGTCTTTGAGCCCCTTTGCTACGATCGCACTTACAATGAGTATCAGGAACGACACCGCATTAAGGATAATTCTTCGTGGAGAGAACCGCTTGGAACTCCGCTAACCACTTGAGGGATACCCGATCTTTAACGGATGCCACAAGACACCGGATCCGCCGTTCTCTCGCGGACGGAAACCATTTCAAGCGAGACGCGCGCACCAATCTTCAAAAGCCACCCGATGAGGTCCACGGGACAGCTGTCGACACAATATCGTGACGATCTCGCTGGAGCTCGCCGATAACGATGTATCACCACCGGATTTCAAGTGTCGCGCGATCTCCGATCTCTTACCATTCCTCCGCGACTCGTGAATTCGATGAATCACGACCAAGTGCCATCCGGCGCTTAGATCGTCGATCCCTTTGCGAATCTTCCGCGAGACCGCGACGTCGGTGGATCGGTTGTCTCAAATATCACCTCGACGACGATCGTCGGTCTCTCGCCAATCTCACACGATCGCGACGTCGACGCGGGACCACTCGGTCGTCGTATCGGTCGAGATCGAGACCCCGGGATCGGGAGCGGGACCGGTACTTTCTCACGCACGTGTCACGCGACCCCCGACGACGAAAGTCACTAGGAGACCGGTAGCGACCCCCGCCTGGCGAGTAGCACGGAGGGTGTTAGAGAGAGGACGTCGGGACGATAGACGACGTAGCGGGAGGATCGACGTCGATGGTGGGGTACTGGAGCGATGAGGGAGAAGAAGACTTGGCGGGGTGAAAAGCAACCGAGCGGATGAGAAGGGGTGGACGAGAGGTACACAGCTCGGGGAGCGGAGTCCTATCGGCGAAAGGAGAGAGCCGCGCGAGGGATGTCGTCCCCACCGCGCCGTTACATCCACGGATTAAAAACCGAAGTGCCTCCCCTATATTCGCGCTCTATCCCCCCCACGACCCCCCTTCCCCCCGCCGCCGCGTGGTCCCCGCTTATCCTCGCGGGATGCTGCGCAGTCTCCGGAACACTGACACAGTGCACTACAGACACGGGACACGCACTCGGCCACGATACAAACCGATAATGCCCTCTTCGGCATATCGCACATTCGGGCAAAATCCGTAAAGATGAAGAAGAATTGAGATGGAAATGATAACAATCTAAAAGAATGAAAACGAATGGCAAATCGATTTCATCGATTTGCATAAACAGAATTATTTAGATCTCGAATCAATTTCTACAACAAGCGATTAAAAATAAATCTTCGAGGAAGTTACTTATATCGATCCTGTAAATTTTCAAAAATTCTCGAAATCTATCATGTAATTACTTTTTAGAAATTACTTCTTTCATATAAATTAAAAACTGACACAATTAATTATTAAAATCAGATTAAAATTAGCCCTTCAACGATCAGCATATATCATTTCCGATAGCAAGAAAGTTTTATCATATATATGAATTGATCTTAATAAACTTCTTTTATAAATCCTGTTTAAATCCCCTAAATGTATAATTCCCGTAAATGTTAAATCGCTGCTTGCTGATTACTTCGCTACTATTTAATTTGAGTGTTACGGAGGACGTTTCGAAGTGTCGTGAAATTCGAAAACACAGCGACTTTTGCAGACAGCTTGTCTATCGGCTGCTTTGCGACGCGGTAAATCATGAAAGAAACATGCGTGCACCTCGTGACAATGGCACGTTTACTGCACCCGCGGATAAAAAATAACGTAAAACGAAGAGAATTCCAGCCAATGCCATCATATCTGGACGCTGATGGCTGCAATCACGAAATTGCCGTGTAAACAGTAATTGCACATGACAGTTAACGCGTTACGACGGTCCGACGGATTTTACGAGACGTCTCGCGTGATAAGTCCACGTGCGCGAGATTCACTTTTGAATGGTCAACAAATCGCGAAGAGTCCCAATTTTTTCGAGCGGTTTGACTGGGTAAGCCATCGCGACGAATATTCATGACTGACGACGCGATATGCGACACGCGCAAAATTCATCGAAAAATGATTCTCGAAATATATCTCACACACACACACACACACACACACGCGCGCGCGCGCGCGCGCGCACGCACCACGCACGCACACGCACACACACATGTAAAAGTGTCCATTAGATGGCGTAACGCATGAAGTTGTTCGCGTATCGGCGCGTCCGCTTTTATAATGTTCGACAAAAAAAAAAAAAAACAAGTTTTATTGAAACACCCAAAAATTCGATGCAAATAGTTTTGGGATGTTCAAATTGATGACTAGAATATCAAACATTTTTTTAATATAATATCATCGTGCTTAAACGTAAACCTGCATAATTATTTTATTTTATTTTTTTTGGTGGCTCAACAAAATTATTTTTAGATCCTAAATTTTTAAATATAAAACTTGCAAACATTCTTTTTTCCAAGTACTCACGCATTGTAGCTCTGTTAGTTATTCAATAATAATTTAAGAACGGTTAAAATTTTCACGAAACAACGTGTAAAAAGATATTTATGATACTTATGAGCGAGTAATCAACAGCCGAATATTCAGTCATGTAACGCACGTTCTGAATTTGCCCCGATACGCATATAAATTCCCGTTTTAAGGCATTAATGACCCGGTGTACTAGACAGTCGAGGCAGCGCGCTAACCGCATTAACGAATTTCACGTTGTAATTAGGTCTATTCATTTTAGCTGCATTAAATGAGTGAAATGAGTGTTTCATCCTTTGAGGGAGAAAGAGCGAAGGAGACGGGAGACCAAAAAATGCAATTAAAACGAACGGAGCTGCTATTTGATGCAAAAATGAAATTTGAAATATTTTAGTGAATACGTCGGAACGTAATCGGAAATATCGGATACTTTTTTTTGTTTTTTGAGAAAACGAAAATATGTACATATAAATATCTAATAATGATTATTCATTCGAACGCACCTCTCGATGTACCTCGTTGCGCGAAGCGCAAAGCGAAGAGGAACGGGAGGTTTTGATCGATTTCCAGTGCACAGAAACGGATCGTCGATGCCGAAATCGTGCGACGGTGATTGCATCTCATGTTTTACACTCGCGGGAATTTCTCAGGAATTTCGCAGGAAATTTACGTTTAGATCGAACATTTATGAGAGGTACGTGGCGAATCGAACATGATCCCGCAATTCATCGCGACGCGTTTCGATGCGACTGGCGAACGACGTCAGAAATTTATCGAGGGACGACATTGCGATTCTCGAAATATCTCGAACATATCGCCATGCTTATTCGGCACATTCGAAATAAAGCCGAATATTTCGGGGGATATGAATGATCGAAAATAGCAAATTGATTGCAGCATTTGCTTAAGGCATGCATACGAGATTTTCACGAAATTTCTTCTTCGAAGAATTGAAAATAGCGAAATGCACAAAAAGGTTAGAAAATCAAAATTCAAATTAATCAAAACTCAATCGCGAGATCATCACTCCATCATAATTCATAGTTCTGGATCGATATCTCTTTTTCTGTATATTTTTCTCGGAAACAACAGAAAAAATTAATAACTCTTAATCATGTTAACAAAATAATGCAGACAAATACCTGATAAGTCAATTTTCTTCAATCAATGGAAATTCGATTGGACTCACTCTTACTTAAGTCGCGATTATTATAGCTAATTACAATTAAGAATTGTCGAAGACATAAAAATTCTAATTGTTTAAGTTTTTCCAGGTTCTAACTTAATAAAATGGAGCGCTATTGTCGAATTACTGCGCACGCGTGAAATTGTCAACACAACTGTCTGCTATCTGCTATCGCTGCACTGTCAAAGCGATCTTGGATACATGTGTCCTGCAGCCGACACGTTGTAAACTTTTTTTATCATTAAGTATAATCATGTCGTATTTAACAGGAGGCAGATTGAACGTCGGACTCATCCAGGAACAGGCAAGGAAGCGACTACTTTGCTTGTTGGAAAAGTGCGATGGTCCAAAGGTAGGTCTCTTCGAGACTTAACCTCTTCTCAAAGAAAACAATTATCAGAAGAATTTAAATTAATCATTAGTTTATATATTTACATGATATTTCTTTTTTTATGTAGGCTATCATATGGGACCAGTCATTGGCCGGACCCATTGGTCTGGTCGCTAAATATAATTTATTGGAAGAGTACGGTGTTGTGAAAATGTATCCATTATGTGGTGGAACTTTGACGATACCGTCGAACATTGCTAATATCATATTTATCTCGAGACCGCAGTTAGAGCTCATGGACCTGATTGCCGAGAATGTTCATGGGTAACATAGCAAATATATTAATGGATAGAATACTATTGCTTTAATTTTGTCTCGCTAAATGCCACTAAGTTTAATCTCTTCAGCTGCGTCAATAATTTTTTGTATTAATGTACTGTCAAAGTTTATATGAAAAAGTTTGGCGACACTTTGTATATTAAATATATTTATAGGGAAGAAGGCAAGAGACCACGTAAAGAATTTCACTTATTCTTTGTTCCACGCAAGAGTTTGCTTTGTCAGAAAAAACTCCAAAATCGTGGTGTCTTTGGAAGCTTTACTCTAATAGAAGAATTCAAATGTGATCTCTTTCCATTTGATAATGATTTGTTGTCAATGGAACTGAGTGGATCCTTTAAAGAATTTCATTTGGAAAACGATCCCACTTGTCTGTATCAAGTCGCGCAAGCCATACAAGGTTTGCAAAAATTATATGGCAAAATCACAAAAGTCACGGGAAGAGGACCAGCGGCCAGTAAAGTTTGGGAATTGTTGGAAAGATTAAATAGAGAGGAGGAAGATAATAAATCATTTCCTATTTCATCTGTTACCATTGAACATTTATTATTATTGGATCGAACTGTAGATTTACTTTCACCCTTAGTTACACAA